ATTAATTTTATTTCCATCCCAACCAAATACATTACTGAAGAAATTTGTACATATTTATGTGATGCAGTTTCTTACCTGCACGTTTTCTCTGAGGTCTGTTGCCTCCCTGAGGGGCTGGGTAGAAGCTCTGAAGAGTTCATCCACTACTTTGATCCCCGTGGTCTTGGTGGTGGTATACTCCCGAGCCTTTCTACCTTTCTTTACTGACAGACCCCTTTTATGTGCCTTTCCTCCACCGCGCCTGTTGGTGATGGCCACATGAACGAACAGAGTGGTGTTGGGCAGGAACTCTCCTGTGAGAGACTGCAGAGGGACGTGTCTATAGCCTGGCTGTAGGCACTCAAACGGGATGGTGTACTGACCGATGAACTCGTCTCCAATGTAGTCGTCATCCAGAACCACAAAGCGTAGAACTGCGAGTTCTGGTAAGTTAATCTGGAACTCAAAACTCTCGTCAAAAATGGGGTTATCTCCATTTTGGGAAACTGTCTTGGTTCTTTGTTCAGCACAGTCAGCTGGTATGCCATGGATCTCTACATATATGTAAGGCTCAACCACATCACCCTTAGCAGCAGAGCCCCGAGGTTTTGGTAAATTCTGCCCACTGATGACTTTGATGTGGAGGAGCTGTGCAGACACACCTGGTAGAGAGTCCCGAGCATTGGCACTAAAGTAGGACACCTCCTCCCTCATAATGGCAGGCCGCAAGACATAACCGCAGTTTCCATTTTGCCTGAACCAACCAAGGTTGAGGTCCATCATCAAGCCTGGTGTCTGGTAGTTCATGGCCACGATCTGGCAGCCGCATTTCCAGAAATCTTGGGGATTCATATTGCTGGCATCAATCCTCATCGATGTGGGATAAACCCTGGAGATGAAGCGCTTGTTATAACAGACAAACTCCTCCGGAAATTCATTGGCAAATCTGTTTGCATCTACCTCGTTGAAGGAGCATATCTCCCAGTATTTTTGCTCCCTCTTAGAGAGTTCAAAGTCCCTGAACTGAACTGACTTGCAAAGACATACGAGGTCAGAAAGCTCCCTGCACAGCCTTAGTCTTTTGCAGCCCAAACCATTCAGTTGGTCCTTTTCATCGGCTCCAACACGGCGTGACATTTCCAGGCCTTCCTCTTCATCTGTCACATCCCCCTCGGAATCAGTGCAGCTTGGTGGCAACTTTTTACTCTTGAGGAGTATTTTGCCTTTAAGTTTTTCAGGTGAGGGTAGGTAGTTTTCTTCTTTGTTGGGTGGTTCAGCATACAGCTTATCCCCAAGAATTTTCTTCAGGTGTTGAACCATGACCCTCTGCTGAGGGATACAGCAATGGGTCACCAAGCACAGAATGAGAGGATACTCAGAACTTTCGAAAGCATACTGGTTTATGATGTCCAGAACTTTAGAGAAAGCGAGCTGAGAGGCCACAGAACTCCCAACATATACGACAGGCTCATTATCAGGGCCGTCCCAGACTATGACCTCGATACTTCGACAGCCCATCCTCAGAGCTCGGATGTAGCTGCTGATGTCTGATGAACCCCAGAAATGATCATCAAGCAGGGAGGCATTATGGGAAGAGTTGATGTAGTAATGAGAGAGAGGCTGAGTCATATCCTGGCACACTTTTTTGTGCTGAGGGTCGAAAATGTGGCATTCCGAGGACAGGAGGTAGTGTGTGAAACCATCGATGGAGAGGTAGCCCCTCTCTCTGCCCTTGGCAGACGGCTCAAATTTCTGGACAATATCCCTGCACATTTCCTCCGTTACTCCCTCCACTCCCTGCTCCACCTCTACAAATAGCATCAGATCTTTACTGTCCAGATACTCTTTGTTACTGGAGAACTGAACCAGCAGAAAGAAAATCTCAGGTCGTGTACAGAGCTCACAATAAGCCTCCACAAAAGTGTCCAAATTAATTGCCTCCCCATATTGATCTTTAGCTTTCTGTAATTCTTTGAATTTCAGCTCTATCCTGGACTCTTTCATTCCAGGATTGAGCCCCTTGATTATCTGGGTTGCTCTGAATAGGTCTATGTGTCCTCCTTTTTCCATATCTGCGAGCTCAAACACTGAACCAATCCAGGACGTTCGTAAGCTCGGTTGACTGGGTTCTGCCATGTCCACCGGGTGGCGACCGTAAGACACCAAATATCTTAGACCCATGACCCACGTGCTGACGATATCTGCGGTACTGGCTACCAAATCTAAACTTTCATAGTTATCTCCATAGATGATTGAGAAGGCGCACTCATCAGGGAATTGATCCGAGAGACCGTTGCTGCGCAGAACCGGAGTTTTCTTCCCCAAACGGACTTCCTTGATGCTCTTGATTTCCAGTTTTGCCTTTTCTGAATCCTTCTTCGATGGCTCCCATCTGAGCCAGTGCATATCTGGATCGAGCAGGAAGTAGCGGTTGTACATGCGTGAGTTGGACCGCACCTTCTTCATTTCACAACCCTCCAACATAAAGGCCATGCAAGCAGCAGTGCTGTTGATTTTACGGTCATTCGGCATAGAGCTGAAGGACACGGTTTTCTTCCTGACCTGCTTCTGTTTGGAGCCATCCTGCAAATGAAACAGCAGAAAATATTGTCTTGATTACAGGGAAACCTTACATTACTTTTCATTTTAGATAACATTTAATGTGTAATAAACACATCCTTTCTTTTTTAAAATAACTTCACAGTCGGATAAATTACTGCGGCTCTTGTGAATGCATCATTTTCTTTAAACACAGGGTAAATTGTCCCTTAAAGACACATTTCAAAGTACTGCGGACTAGCACAGTTTAAGTCACATAAGTGTAGTTTAGAGATTTAATGTTACTTTTTACTGCAAATAGGATGTGTTAATAAAATATTCATCCTGCAGGCAACCTTACAAAAATATGTTTTTGCCAGCCAGCTTCAAAGACGAGCCACGTTTTGCTCCATTTCCATTAATAACAAAAGCAAAAGTATTAAAAGGAGTAAAAAAACAACAACAAGAAAAAAAAAAAACATCTAAACCACCTGCACTGGCACAGCTGAGGTTTTGCAGATTTCAGGGTTTACTCGCCTAGCTGGCAGAAGGCAGACTGTGTTGCCCCACTTCCACACAAGGCTGTAGTTTCCTAGATAGCCTGAATTCTGATGGCCTAATTTGAGATGTCCAAACTGGGTTTTCTGAGTAAGACATACCAGAGAGGACAGTACAATACAAATCTAACTCTGAAAAACTTTAGACAAATGGCTTTGAGTTTTACCACGGCTGAAGGACAAAATATTTGTAGTCCTGAAAGTTTCTCCAAGATAATATTAAAAAAAAAAA